GGACTGCAGCATGCCAAGCCTCCCTGTCCATCACCAACTTCTGGAGTTTGCTCAAACTCATGTCCATAGAGTCAGTGATGCCATACAACCATCTCATCGTTGTCCCCTTCTCCTCCTGCCCTCAGTCTTGCCCAGCATCAAGGTCTTTTCAAATGAGTCAGTTCTTCTTATCAGGTGGCCAAAGTATTGGAGTTTCAGCTTCAGCATCAGTCCTTCCAATGAACACCCAGGATTGATCTCCTTTAGGATGGACTGGTTGGATCTCCTTGTAGTCCAAGGGACTCTCAAGAGTCTTCTCCAACACCACAGTTCAAAAGCATCAATTTTTTGGTGCTCAGCTTTCTTCACAGTCCAACTCTCACATCCACACATGACCACTGGAAAAACCATAGCCTTGATTACATGGACCTTTGTTGGCAAAGTAATGTCTCTGCTTTTTAATATGTGCTCTAGGTTGGTCATAACTTTCCTTCCAAGGAGTAAGCGTCTTTTAATTTCATGGCTGCAATTACATCCACAGTGATTTTGGAGCACTGCACTTTCAGGCAGATGGAATGCAGCATTTTGATTCATCTAAGTCTGATTTGTGAAGTCTTCAATGCCATATCACAGGACAAATCTAAAGCCTTTCCTGGAAAACCTATTGGCATGTCTATTGTTTTGTGATGGTGTGGATGTTGTTGCAGACTTCAGGTATCGTATCACATATACGCAATCATCAAAATGGTGGAAGAAGTTATTTTGACAACTGTTTATTGATATGACTTGAAAATTTATTGCCCATTCTTGTAGGATTGACATGATGATATGAAAAGTGAATGAACAGATTGAAGGTATCTGAAGGGCAAGAGAAGATTCCCATTTCCTTAGAAAATGATGGTTCACAGAACATCTGCTCCTCCAATCTTTGCTCAAGAATTTCCAGGCATCATCTCTTATCAATACTTAAGAGGTCAAGATGGGCAGAGAATTGATTTCTAAGTCTTCAGAAACTCCTGAAGAAAGATCTCAAGCACAAAGGCAGAAGTAGAGGTAAATAATAAATCCTTGGACTTCAGAGAAAAGAAGACATGGTTGAATTGTGTGAAGTTGGATTTTCTAAATTCCTCTTCTGAACTGGCAAGTAGGGTCAACTTTGTGCTCTTGGCAATTTTGAGTACATGCTCCAGCTTCAAAGAATTCTTTGGGTTACACAAGGGGTCCACTCTGAGCTTCCCTTCTTCACCTCCACCCTTCCTTACTGTGTACATTCTTTCCTCTTCACGGAAAACAGCATAGAACTGACTAGTCCAACACAACTGAATGGGAAGACAACATGCTATCTCTCAATAAAAAGAAGCAAATGCATCTCACCAATGAAAACAGCATTGACAATCCATTTAGCCACATTTTGGAATCTTCTTTTCAGATATCCTTATCATGAGTTTTCCAAAGTAAAATCTTATAACTGCTCAGTAATATTAATAATTGCTAAAGGAAACAAAAGTCCTGCCCAGTTAGTCAAAGGGAAAGAAAAAAACCAGCTGTCTCTGAGAGAAGACGGTCATCTGAACAATGCATTTGCACTCAAAAGGCTTTGGCTCTGGGGTGGGGGTACTCCGTGCTCTAAACTTTGTCTAGAGAAATCATGGGAGCTTTGACTCCCTAGGAAAGTAAAAAGGAAGAATGACCTGAGCAGAATTCAGAGATACATTGTGAAAGAAAAGCACCCGGGTCAGGGTCTCCAAGGTCTGGCAGCTGACTACTCCTGACCCCGACTCTTAGGCATGTCATAGACTCTGGCCACTGGGTCTGGGAGGAGAGGTGGGGCAAGAAAAGAGTCTTCTTCAGCCTGTCCATCAATAGCGAGCTTCACTTGCAAGGGAAGAAAGGCTGTCACATCTGGTTATATTGAAAAGATTGAGGCACAGCAGTCAAAGTCAGAACTTTGATCATTAGAATGTTCATTCATCCTTGAAATGTCTACTGAGCAAGGCAGTGTGAAAAACACAGACCAAGAAGATGCAGATCTTGCACTTGTCAGGATGATGGCATCGCAGAGAATAACTCGTGTCAGAGTGACTCAGGCCACATGTGTAAGAAATAACGTGAAAGGGTGAGTACATCTATATCCGGGTGGAAATGATTTCCCACTCAGGTTTGTGGCACAGGTAGACACACGGAAATGGAGAAGCAAAATCCTGAGAGAGGAAATATCATGGGCAGAGGCTCAGAAGAGAAATTATCCAGGCACTTCTAACTTTCGGTGTGAATAGAAATCAGAGGGAAAGTGAGATGTCATCCATGGGGATTTCCCAAAAAATGAGACAAAGCACACTTCATCTCCTGCTTGCCTGTGGTTAAAATTTTTCGAAACAAGATTACTGTTCAATGGAACAGCTGAGAGCAAAAATCCTTCTAAATCTAAAGAACTCCAAGATGTTTAATTTGTATACTGAATCTTCCCTGCAAATTTCTAAATAAAGAAGCTTAAGTGGTCGTCTTCTGCAACAGGGCTTCTCAACCTCAGCAGCACTGGCATTCTGGACTAGGTAAACTACTTGCTGTCCTACACACTGCGGGATGTTGACAGAGCAGCATTCCAGACCTCGGCTTGCTAAGTCAGTAGCACCTGCCCAAGTGTTACCAGGTGGAACAATCATCTCGACACTGCCCGGTGGCCCAGGGAACACGGTTACACCCTCCCCTGCCCAGTGGGGAGCTGCTGGTGCCCAAGTTCACTGACTCAAGTCTGTTCTCCTTGCACAGACACGAGTGAAGAGCAAGGCGAACCCTCCGTGCGAGGCAAGCAAAGCAGTGTCTGTTTTGCTGTCAGAGTCAAGTAAATGTCAGTGTTATCAGCAGGATGTGTAACTCTACTCACTGTTGTCAGTAAATGAAATTCAACTCCCCTGTGCTGTGGTTTCCAACCACCCTTCTATTTGACAGCCTCTCACATGACTGAAGGCAGGTATATCCTCCACAGCATTCTAACATTGGCAAGATGTGGTCTCTTGGCCATCATTTATTACACACTTATAATCATGCATGGCCTAAATACTGTTATAGCAAACTCTTCGTGAAATAAAGTCCCTTTCTAGTTATAATGATGGAAATTAAGAGAAAACATTGATGTGTAAAAAAGAGATGGTTCTCAGTTACAAAATCTAAGATGGATAAAACAAGTGATTGAAACCCTAAATCTTATGCATGTCTGTACCCAGGAATTTTTTTCTCTCTGGTGAGATGTAGCAGCTTCTGTGTCTCTCACCTTTTTTTTTAATTTAAAGGTAATGCAGTGCAAGAGGGTTCCCTTTTCTCCACACCCTCTCCAGCATTTATTGCTTGTAGGCTTTTGGATAGCAGCCATCCTGACTGGCGTGTAATGGTACCTCATTGTGGTTTTGATTTGCATTTCTCTGATAATGAGTGATGTTGAGCATCTTTTCATGTGTTTTTGTGCCATCTGTATGTCTTCCTTGGAGAAATGGTGGGAATGCAAATTAGTACAGCCACTATGGAAAACAGTGTGGAGATTTCTTAAAAAGCTGGAAATAGAACTGCCATATGACCCAGCAATCCCACTTCTGGGCATACACACCGAGGAAACCAGATCTGAAAGAGACACGTGCACCCCAATGTTCATTGCAGCACTGTTTATAATAGCCAGGACATGGAAGCAACATAGATGCCCATCAGCAGACAAATGGATGAGGAAGCTGTGGTACATATACACCATGGAATATTACTCAGCCATTAAAAAGAATTCATTTGAATCAGTTCTAATGAGATGGATGAAACTGGAGCCCATTATATAGAGTGAAGTAAGCCAGAAAGATAAAGACCATTACAGTATACTAACACATATATATGGAATTTAGAAAGATGGTAACAATAACCCTATATGCAAAACAGAAAAAGAGACTCAGGTGTATAGAACAGACTTGTGGACTCTGGGAGGAGGCAAGGGTGGGATGTTTCAAGAGAACGGCATCGAAACATGTATATTATCTAGGGTGAAACAGATCACCAGCCCAGGTTGGGTGCATGAGACAAGTGCTCAGACTTGGTGCACTGGGAAGACCCAGAGGGATAGGGTGGAGAGAGAGGTGGGAGGGGGGACTGGGATGGGGAATACATGTAAATCCATGGCTAATTCATTTCAATGTATGACAAAAACCACTGCAATGATGTAAAGTAATTAGCCTCCAACTAATAAAAATAAATGGAAAAAAAAAAAGGTAATGCAGGTGGGGGTGGGGACCTGTAGGTACAACCCCACACACATAGCTTCTGTTACCTTAAGAGGATTAAGTCTGATTCTTTCACTCAGTATGTACACTATCCTTCCTTAAAGATTTCACTGTAAACAATAAATGCTGAAGTCAAGTATCAAAATATAGTGTAGTATCTGATGATCACAATGGTTCTTGATGGTAAGAGGAATGAGAGACAGTACAGTGGTAGGTGAGAGAAGTCATGTACAATTTTAGCAATACTTTGAGAATACCTAAAGCAATTAAGCAATTTTGGTTGTAATTATTACTAGTTGTTAACAATATATTCCTGAGTTATGTTAACAAGTGGGCATAATCCTTTAAGGGCTTCCCAGAGGCTCAGTGGTAAGGAATCCACCAGCAATGTAGGAGACACGGGTTCGATCCCTGGGTTGGGAAGATCCCCTGGAGAAGGAAATGGCAGCCAACTCTAGTATTGCCTGGGAAATCCCATGGATAGAAGAGCCTGGTTGGCTATAGTCCATGAGGTCACAAAAAGAGTCAGACACAACTTAGCAACTAAACAACAGCATGCATGGTCCTTTGAAGGAACCATAGGGGGAAAATCACCTAATCTATCAATAAAGACTCGGTAATAACGTTCTCTTTTCTTTGAAAGGTGTCCTCGAATGGCCATTTTGGACAAAGCTGGCTGTGGTGGCCATCGGCTTCACTGGAGGTCTGGTCTTCATGTACGTCCAGTGCAAGGTCTACGTGCAGCTATGGTGCAGGCTGAAGGCCTACGACCGCGTGATCTTTGTGCAGAACTGCCCGGACACAGCCAAGAGGGTGGAGTAGAACCGCTCTTGCACCGTGAGCATGGACAACAAGGACGCTGGGGCGGCGCCCGCGTTGCCGACGGGGACCACTGCACGGCCACCCGCGGAGGCCGGGCCCACCGAGCTCATACCCGTGTGACGGGGCCAGCGGGGGTCTGTCACCCAGAGCAGAGTCCAGCCTGTCACTACAGACGACAGGAGCGATCCTGAATAGTCGCCCTCTATCTTCTCTCTGCTTTCTGACTCATCTGTTCTTACTTTGCTCAAAAGGAAAGAAGAAAACACCAAATGACCAGGATCCCATGAAACAGTCTCAAGTGTAAAGAAGAAATGTGGAAGTTAGCTGGAAAATGTTTTCTGAGACAATTCACCACTGGAGCAAGGGATGCTTTTAGGCAATGAGGAAAGCCTGAGTGGACAGACCTGTGAGTCCTCACAGTACCAGGGAAAGTTCCAGAGGAAGGACTTGAGTTGAACATGTGTTTCTTCTAGGGCCTCATGATGCTAACTCTCTCATGTAGAAATGACAAAGGTATTTGGGTTTAAGCTTGAAATTGTCTGCATTATCCCTAAGGCACATTAGACGCAAACTTGGAAGACGCATATTTTGATATTCATACTTTGACAGCTAACAGGTTTTTATGGCTATAGTGGAGTCCAGTTTGTTTTCACCGGTGCATGTTTTTAAAATAAATGCAAGACACGTTTGAAGATATTAATACTTGGAATTATGTTTAAATCATGAAGAGTAGATTTTGAAAGATTTTGGGATTTAATTAGCTCTGTTAAATACCCAGAAGCCTTGTATACTCCACTTGGACCCTCTGAAACAGCAGTGTCCAACAGAAATGTAATGTGAGCCACAAAGGCTGGCTTACATACGCAAATTTAAAATTTTCTAGTAGCACCATTAGAAAAAGTAAAAATAAACAGGTGAATTTCGACAATGTTTTATTTAGCATTATATACCCATTATCATTTCAATGTCATCATGATAAAAAATTATTGAGTTATTTTACATCTCCTTTTATGAACCAAGTCTTCAAAATCCAGTATGCATTTCATCCTTACAGGGAATCTCAATTCAAATCCACTGTATTGGATACAGCAGCCCTAAAATTAGACACAAAACCTGTTTTAACAGTTGAATCTTTTAAAACAGCACTTCATTCTTTTTTTCAAAATATCACAAATGTTATTTTACAAAGCACTAATCAAATGAAGTATCTTAATAAGTTAGACAAAGTGACTGTTTTTTAAAGAGTAAAAAAACAAAACTATAAAGCAATCTGCCTAAGTTTCAAAATTAACTTATTTGCTACTATGAAGCACTTATAATAGGGGGAATAAAAAATAATTTTTTAAGTCAAATGTACTTTTTAAAATCTACATAAGGTGTCAACTTGACAGATGAGCAGTGAGTAGTTATGACCAAGCATTTAGACTGTATTTTAAGGAGCTGACAATTATTTCCCTTGCTCAACTGGGAAGCAAAAACATTCAAGATTCTGTGATAAGTGATAAATTGAGTTGTTTAGGTTTGACAGATGAGTTGATTATTGTATTCTTTGCATATTCATGTGAACCTGAAGCGTGAATAATACTGCAGTGAGCTAGACTAATGATTATAAATATAGTGGCCTGTCAAAGAGAGATGTCTTACATAAAACAAGGTGATTTATTTTTGCTAGCTGTTGTTATTTATTATTGTGAAAAGGCAACCATGATGGCCATAGAACCAAAGCATGGGTTTCGCACTGCACAAATCTGGGTCTCACATCATTGATGTACTTTGTAATTGTCAGTGTGCTTGTTCCTTACAGGTTACCATAGAAAAAGGAAAGAGAGAACCTTTTACTGAGAAGGATGCTATGATATTAGTAGTGGCTGACACTGAGTCCAGATAGTCCCAGTTCTTAGAAATAGAGCAAAGGTCAACAGCGTCAACTTTGTGTGCATGTGAGGTGTGTGTGTTCCTGTATATACATGAGAAAAACGTCAAAGTGTTCAGTCAGGCAGCAAACAAGAGGTTTTTTAAAGCTCACCTTTCTTAAAACTTGAATGAAGGCACAGGAAAAAAAAAAAAAAACACTTGAGGCAACTAAACTGGACCAAAATTTCTGCACAATTAAAATATATGAACCTTAAACTGGACTTTGTATTAACTTCTTAATTTCCATCTTCAAGGTTTAAGACACATACATTCACGGATAATGAAGCTTTGGGTGACCTAACGATGGCGCTTCACCCAAGGGACTAAACGTGATTCATTTCTTCTAATAACTTTCCTAAGCAGTTTACTAATCCATGTCTCCTGAGGTTTAGCAATGGCAACACTAACACTTCCACAAGTTCCTGAGGGAACAAAATCATCACCAGCAAAGAACTGTTGATCTCTCTGTTGTCTGCTCTGTAAGGAAAAGGATTATTTACACAAAAAACACCATTTCTATTCTGTCCAAACTCCAGAAAGATAGGTAACTAGATGGCTCATTTCACAGTGGAAGATGATTGGTTAACATAAGGCCTGGTTTATTAAGGGGCTCACTGAACACTAGAATGAAAAATAAAGATAATCTTTACTGTATTAATGATAAAAGAGGACATGGTGTTTTAAAACCACACATAAATTCTCAAAACTAACTTAAATAGGCTTTGTCTTTCTTGAACTGAGAAAATATAGAGCTCTCTAATGGGTTAAAAGTCAGCATTATTCTGCTATTCTTTTTTTAAACCTGAACTCTTGAATTTAAATCATTAAAGTTTTCCCATAATGGCTGTTGAAGGTTCAAACAACTGAAATAACTATGTGTATTTAAAACCTAGTGTTGATTGTTTTCTTTTATACTGTGTGGCAATGGTTTCTGACCTTTCAATGACTGGGTGTGGCTTTGTGAAAATACTTTCGTGGACTGGATATACCCTTCAAAAAGAAAACCTGCTCTCTGGAATGCTCTTCAATTTTTTAAAGCATGTTTACCTGCTTATTTAAGAAATAAAATGGAATTGAAACAAAGGACTTAAATTGAAGAATAAATTTATAATTCTACTAAAACCTTGCCTTTTTTTTTTTTTAATTTATTTTTTTTATCACAACCATAGTGTATCTTTTTTTTTTTTTTTTACATGTATTCCCCATCCCGGTCCCCCCTCATAACCTTGCCTTTTTATAATCACAACTCTGTGGTATTACCAGTTACGCTGTTAATTTTTTTTAAAGAACTGTCACTTTTATTGTATAAGCTCAAATATTAAGTTGTAAAGAAATGAAATTCATTTTTTTTTTTTTAAGTGAAGCCAAAAAGGCAATCAAGCTTAAGTACAAATGAAACAAAAATGTTACCATCAGCTTGGGATATAAAACAATGGAGAAACTGAAGGAAGACAGGTGCATACAGAAAAGTAGTCTTTCAAATGCCACAGGATTAAATCTCATTCTGAGCTGCTGCTCATGTGATTCTAGTCCCAGAGAGATAGCTGCACAGTTAATCTGTTTTGCACAAGGTCCCTGAACCATCTGTATAGTTTGGCTGGAAAACCAGCCCATTGGAGCAATGGCATCACTAACACATTCTGTCACAGAGGTGAGGTGGAAACTAGCCCATCAGAGCAATGGCCTCACTGACACATTCTCGTTGTCATGGAGGTGAGGTGGGAAGAGTGTTTCATTTGCCTGATACAGTTCTCCTTTCATGCCAGTTAGTATTTTGGAACAAAGTAGAGCTCTCCAAACTTAACATTGTCATTATTGTAGTTGGCATATAATTGTGTAGGACTTACACTTTAATTAACAAAGATGGAAACCAATTTTCTTCCCTTTTACGTCAGCCCAAAGGTGCTATTTTACATATCAATACAGTTGAGAGGAAGTACTGTTATTTTGGGCTGCAGTGTTTCCTCCACATCTGAAGAAAGCCCATTTGAAACTGCATTAAGACAAAAGAAAAATTTTAACTGTGTGCAATTTTGGGGATTGAGCATTTGTACTTTTTTGGTTTTTCCTAATTCTCTTGCATTAACAATTTACTGTTTGGTGAATTATGTGTACTAAGACAAATTAAGGAAAACAAATAATTCCCTGTGAAAAAAGACTTTGTATATTAAATAAGTGACCCAAACTTTTGTTGTGATTTCTTTATTTTTTGCCTAACTTACCTGAATTTCTTCAGCTTTGTATCTGCAACATTCAAACAGCCTTGAGTTCTTAAGATTCTGCAATGGTCTGGGTTTTTAAGCAGGGCCTTAATATTTTAAGGCCAACATAGGTTGATTAACACATGGCATTTTAGGAAGGATTAAATAGGTGCGTTAACAAGGGAAAATCAATGAAAATAATCTACACAGACTTTCAAACTCTGTTTTAAAGAAAAAAAAAATTAAGAAAAATCAGAATGCAATCCAGAGAAAGATTCTCTGATGAATAAGGCTTGGATATACAAAAGAATGTAACAGTATTTTCCTACCCAGAGGTAATAAAAACCAAAAGAGGGAATCTAATTCAAACCTAAGTGGGTTAGTGATCAGTGAAGAAAACAATCCAACTGAAGCCCCAGCTTTGAAGCCTGACTTCAGGGTCTAATTGGATGTGTTCATTCTTCTGTCCAAACGGAACATGTGCATGTGTCTTCTCAGCCTCCCAAACTACAACAAACAAACCTAGATCATAGATCATTGTCACTGTGTGTTTAGCCAGTGACCAAACCCGGGAGCTGTGACAGACACCAAGGGTGGGGTAGACTCCTTAACCCAGGGAAGTGGCAGGGCAGGAAGCAGAGTCCTGAACAAGGCACATCAGCAAGATCCAGCCAGGGGGGAAACAGTCTGCGCTGGAGTTTCAGACAGCTCACTCCTTACAGAGGCACACAAGGAAGGAGGAGGAGGCGCCAGCTCCTCGGGAGCCCTGCCCCAGAGGGAAGGCGCGGGAAGAAAGGGGCGCGTGAGCAGTGACGCTGCGCGAGGTGGGGGCGCCCTGCGGCTGAGCAGCCGGGACCACAGTGCAGCGAGGCCCTTTCGCAGCCTGCAGCACAGCGGGCTGAGGGGGAAGCCTCACCCTGTATCAGAGCCCGCAGCACAGCGGGCTGAGGGGGAAGCCTCACCCTGTATCAGAGCCCGCAGCACCGCGGGCTGAGGGGGAAGCCCCACCCTGTATCAGAGCCCGCAGCCACAGCGGGCTGAGGGGGAAGCCCCACCCTGTATCAGAGCCCGCAGCACAGCGGGCTGAGGGGGAAGCCCCACACTGTATCAGAGCCCGCAGCCACAGCGGGCTGAGGGGGAAGCCTCACCCTGTATCAGAGCCCGCAGCACAGTATCAGAGCCCGCAGCACGGCGGGCTGAGGGGGAAGCCTCACTGTATCAGAGCCTGCAGCCACAGCGGGCTGAGGGGGAAGCCCCACGCTGTATCAGAGCCCGCAGCACAGCGGGCTGAGGGGGAAGCCCCACGCTGTATCAGAGCCCACAGCACAGCGGGCTGAGGGGGAAGCCTCACTGTATCAGAGCCTGCAGCCACAGCGGGCTGAGGGGGAAGCCCCACACTGTGTCAGAGCCCGCAGCTCGGCGGGCTGAGGGGGAAGCCCCACGCTGTGTCAGAGCCCGCAGCAGGCGGGCTGAGGGGGAAGCCTCACCCTGTATCAGAGCCCACAGCACAGCGGGCTGAGGGGGAAGCCCCACCCTGTATCAGAGCCCGCAGCACAGCGGGCTGAGGGGGAAGCCTCACCCTGTATCAGAGCCCGCAGCACGGCGGGCTGAGGGGGAAGCCCCACACTGTGTCAGAGCCCGCAGCACGTCGGGCTGAGGGGGAAGCCTCACTGTATCAGAGCCTGCAGCCACAGCGGGCTGAGGGGGAAGCCCCACACTGTATCAGAGCCCGCAGCACGGCGGGCTGAGGGGGAAGCCTCACCCTGTATCAGAGCCTGCAGGCGGTGACGAGCTGTCCACTTATTCCCCCGGAAAACAGGGAGGCAAACACGCAGTGCCCCGTGGGAGCTCCGCACAGCACCCCGCGTCTTCCTGCTCTAGGAAGACCACAGGGCACTCTTCTGAGGCTCAGGAACGCCGCGGCCCAGCCTGGCCTCAGAGGACACACACGCTCTTCAGGGGGCCAGCACCAAGCTGTCCCCACCTGGGTCGTGGCTTGACCACCCTGGGGCAGGACAGGCAACCAGTGTGTCTGAAACGAGGCCAGCCCGGGGCGTGTGGAGAGGACGTCAGCAATCAGAGCACCTCAGGCCTCTCTGACTATGGTGGTTGTTCAGTCTGGCCGTGGTACAGAACGTGAATTTCATTCCAAAGATGCTGGATGTCAATGTGGGTTCATCAATTATAACACGTGTACCATCTGGTGGTGGATATTGGTAAGCGGGAGGCTATGCATGTGGGGCTAGGGAGTATATGGGAAATCTCTTTACTTTCCTCTTGATTTTAATGTGAACCTAAAATTATTTTTTTAAATAAATCTTTTAAAAAGGGGGTCAAGAATAAAATCACACCCTATCAAATAAACATGCCAAGAGGACACCTACTGAATCTTCTGTCCTGAAGCATAAGGATTACAAGAGCAGAAAACACTCTTTAAGGTGAACAGAGTCCCAGAGAGAGACCAATGCCTGCAAGGCAAGGAAGTGGCTAGGTATTAGGAATAGCGGCTACAGATAGCAGTGAGTGGCTGAGTTTAGAAATGTATCCTAAGCCCAAGTCCGTGGACTTCAGCTTGCTGATTTAGACCAGGGATTGGCAAACTCTGGCAAGCAGGTCAAACCTAGCCTATAGCCTATCTGGGTATGGCCATGATGGGTTTCACATTTTTAAAGGGTGGTAAAACACACATACGTATATAAGAATACACAACAGACACTACATTTGGCCTGCAATGTTTAAAATATTTACCATCTGCCATTTTATTATCTGTCCCCCACGAGTTTACAGAGAACTGCCAACCAAGTGTTCCTCTCACTTGGCTCCAGGGCTGTGGACAGAGACGCTCTCTCTCAGAGGTTTCCTACTGACAGAGAAGGGGTGGGACAAGCATCACTGCAGAGAGAACACGTTCCACAGACAACGGGGAAGGGGACCATTTAAGAGGATTACTCTAAAGACAAATGGTCTCTTAAGTTACTCTGGTCTAGCCAGGAGTGACATGACAATTACAGTCCTAAATTCATTCAACAAGCACTTATCTGTTCTGGTTCTAAGCAGTACAGCCTGTTATATTTTCTGCTTTGATAGCACAGGGAAAACTAGAAATAAATCTTGGAGGAGAATGTTCTGCCATTTTCACAAGTTATTCATCTAACAGTAATGCTTTTTAAATACCAGACTGGATAAAGCAGTTTTTATTCTCTTTACTGTAATTTATGACTCAGTTTTTATAGTCGTTTTGAAACAAAAAATGAATTCCCTTCCCCCAAGAAGGAAATTTTCCAACGACCAAAGAGATAAGAACTTACTATATAACCATAAAACCATGCTTCTGCGTGGATGACTTAAAGCCAAAGCAAGTCAGCATTAGTTAAATCACTAAACATTAAATAAGAACCTTAAGTAAAACTATAGAAATAAGTTTTATTTTTAATCTTCTGAAGTAAAAAAGCTGTTAACAAGACAATTGATACCTCATACAATTGGTTACCTCATACAGAATTTTTTTTTTACCTTGAAAATGCACTTTCACTGCACTCTTTAGGAAACAGGCCAGAAGAAACTTGCATTTAACAAGTTCTGTTAAGAACATTCTACCACATTCATGTTTTTCATGATGTTGCAAACACTGTTACATAGCAGTTTAACCTATCTCTCAGAAGAAGAATTAAGACCATTGAAATAATTAGTTCTCTAATCTTTAGTTCTGTTTCCACAAATAAAATCTAATACTTTTCACAATGAGAAAGTAAAAAATAATATAAAAACAAAACTAGCCAACCTGAAATCATTTATCCCCTTTATCCAGATAACAGGTTGATAACATGAGATCCACAGAAGAATATGTTGGTGATTCTTCTTTAACCACTTACCTAACTCTGGGTCGAAGATAATAAATAACAGCAATGTACAATCCATAAGCATATATAAATTCTGTATCACATTTTCCCTATTTTCTAAGGAAAGAAAACAGGTTTGATGTGTAAGAGGAAGAGCAGTGAAAAACACTGCTAAAAGGCAGTTTTGCTGTCATCACTGCTTACTCAAGAAGTACCCACATTAACCTTCTAGCAAAATAGCTACTGCCTATGACCCAAAATGTGACACGTGATTCTAAGGTGATTCTAAGTAAACATGCTTAATGTAAATGAAAAGCAACATTCCTTTTTAAGTAAAAATTGCCACACTGGTTTTGAAACTGAAAATATAAGAGTAAGGTAAAACAGCAAATTCGTGTGTTGAGACAATTATTTACCATAATCAATTCAAGTATAACCTGGAAGTTCTCAAATTATTTATTTTCCACTCAGGCAAAGACACTTAGGCCACCGCAGTCATTTCCTCGTCTGTGTCACTTGACTCATCTTTCAGTTCCAATTCCCCTAAATCTCTGTCTACAGCTGTCATAGCTTTCTTCTTACACTTCTTGGGCACCGCATCGCTAGCACAGCCTTTCTCATTTTAATGTTTGGCAATTTCTTCAGATCAAAATCCCATCCCCTAGACAAAAGAGAGAATGCAGAAAGTTGGTGAGGTGGGGAATGAAGTCAATATTCAAAACTATGCAGAAAAAAGTTTATAAATTTACAGCAGACTCAAATGTGCTAGACGGAAACAATATAAATGCACCAGGAAAAAAAAATGTCCCCAAAACTAAGGTTTGCATTTTCCACACTTACCGTACTCTCTCCCTCATCTATAGTATGTTACAGTTGCTCACACACGTCTGACACTTTGCCACCCCATGGACTGTAGCCCGCTAAGCTCCTCTGTCCATGGGATTTCCCAGGCAAGAATACTGGAGTGGGTTGCCGTTCCCTTCTCCAGGGGATCTTCCTGACCCAGGGATCGAACCCAGGTCTCCAGCACTGCAAGCAGATTCTTTACCATCTGAGCCACCAGGGAAGCCCCATTAATCTATAATAGCAGTTAACTGCCCAGGGAATTTCACATATTCAAGATTTTCAAAACAATGCAGGAAAACATTAGGTAGAAGTTACAAGGAGGCTGCTCCTTTCTTTCATGATTCTTAACCTGAACACTTCCCTCTATCAGGACATACAGTGTCAAGAAGTCTCAAAAGCAGGAACTATACCACACTGGAAAATCTCCAAACTGCAGAGTCAGAAAAGGTTTTTCTCTTCACACACAATGGTAAGTCACAATTAAGTTTCAGCAACCAAACAATTCTTGTAACAGAAAACTTCCAGTTTTTCAACCTCAGCATTTCTGTGACAATCTTATGTTCACTTACTTTGGGAGCAAAATGAAGACTGTTTTGAGAACTGAACTCTAGCTAGATAAAAATACTAACAGTCTATGCTAATTTCTTCTCATTTTTGGCTTTCTTTGGAGGAGGCAGCATCTATACCGGTTTACTGAATAAAGGGAATACTTATATATCTGACTACTTAATATTGCAGGCAAAAACATTAACATCTGAAAAAATCTTAAGCTGCATGTACTTACATTATAACTACATGTAAATGAGTTAAAAAGTGAACCACTTCTTAAATATGACTGATAAATTTTATGAGCTGAGATTTTATGAATATTAAATATTTTCTATAAATTCAGAAGTATAATAGTATAAAATAAACTTAAAGGTTTTAAATAATATGGACTTAATTTATCTAATTTTGGTTAAAATTTCAGGCTGATCAACATGACCTACCTAAGGTCAAAGTGATTAATAAAAATTATTTTCTAAAGAAAAGTAATTTATGTTTGAAAACTAAAAACTGGAAATCCTACTCACTGGTCTTTCTGGTCACAGAGTACTAGTAGAGAGATCACTGGGTCACCTGGTTCTTCATGATTCCCTTCACACCAACCAACTTCTCCAGAAGGAGGTGCTGCAAACAGTCTGGGAATGGGTCTCTGAGCCATCAAGTCTGCTGCTGACAGTTTTTTTTCTTTCTTTTTTTTTTTTTACATAACAGAGAGGAACAGTGACATCATGTTCTTTTAAATACTATATTGAAGAATTTTGAAGTATTTTGTAAAACAAAAGCACTAGGACACTATCATTTCAGGCATTTCTAACAAATGCAACTTAGGAAAATTCTTACTTATCCCATGAAAGAGAGGTTAAAAAGAACCCCTGAATACTCAAAAGGGAAGAAAGTTTATCTATCATGTATTTTACATGCAGCCTTAAAGAAAAAAACTGCAACAAACTCACCTAAAAGTTTTCAGATTATCTGCATTTAAAATGTCTAGAATCTCTGGAAAAGAAAATATATTTATTAGGTAAAGTCTTCTATTACAGTATTTATAGTTTCTTCCTTTACTATCTCAGGAAGAAAAAGAAATAACTGACAGACAGAAGAATGCCCAAAGCAAAACAAACTTTCAAAGCATGATTACAAATCTACAATGAAAAGAAGTTTCAAAAGTATAAAGGACTTATTTTAAAAAGAAGGTGATTAAAAAAAAACCAACACTATTAAATAATGTATTCTAAAACAGAATCTATAAAATGAAATGAATCCTCAAAAATGTTTGACCTTTACAACAGCTTCAGAAAATAAGAATGTGAGTGACGAATGGCTATACCAAACAGGGGCAAGACGGAGAGATGTTAGTACGTAGTCTTCACTGAATCTTACTGACAGCATCTCTGACTATCTGCCCATGTTTCTAGACGCCTGTAGACTTGTGTCACCACATTCCCTGGGCTGAGGCATAACCAGAACACAAAGTCTGAGATTTAGCACTGGCTTCACCACCAGTAGGATGCCTGACCTGGGATGTGCTGTCCATGACTGCTGTTCAGCCTGTCGAGTTCAGGTCGAGACTGAGCACAGAGCCGCCTGGGGAGGCCAGCGCGAGGGCAGAGCTGAGATCAGGGCGGCTCGAGCGCGGGCAGCAGACTGCAGCGCAAGTCCTCAGACGCCAAGTGAGTCCGGCTGATGAGCTGGACGTGGGGCCTGAAGTGTCTGCAGGATGGTGGGCGAGTGATGATGTCCCTGACCGAAACACGGACTGCACAGAAGGAGCCTGTTTTAGGAGAAAAGCTGGGCTCTGCTTTGGGACATGCCAAACTGGAGCTGTCTAGAAGACATTCAAGCAGAGATTTTAAGAAACTCAAGTTTGAGTCTGGAGTTCTAGGGACAAATTAGGATTGACAACATAAATTTGGAAGTCATGACATTTAGGTGGTATTTAAAAGCACAGGATTAGATGAGATAAATGCAGGACCTGGTATAAACTGGAAAGACAAGAGGCCCAAGGACAGACATCTGGGCCAATTATTTAGTTTGTGAGGCTATGAGAAGGAGTTAACTTAGGAAAGTGACATTATGGCCAGTGAACTAGGAGAAAAACCGGGGAAGGACAGCGGCTACTCCCCAAATAAAAAGTGTGACAAAAAACGAAGGGATCATCTGTAGCAAAGCATGCACAGAAGTTGACTAGGAGAGTCGGTACCCAGTACAGCTACCACCTGTCTTAGCAACTTAAACAGTTCATCAGCGATGAGGACTGTGAGTGGTGGCTACAGAAGCCTAATTTAAGGGCTTCCAAAGAAAATGGAAGATGAAGAAATGGAGACTATAAGCACAAATTTAAGTGAAAGGACACAGGAGTGGTTGAAGCTTTCCCTCAATCCCTACATGTCACATGCAATCTCGTTTAACTTTTAAACGACCTGGGAAGGGGAGGTGTACGATCCATCTTTATTTTTAAATGGAAGGTAACAAGGCTGGGGAGTGGGTAAAAAGTAACTTGTCCTGTTATACAGTAAGCTGCAAGGGTCTCAGTACAGATCTAACCTGTTCTAAAGCTATTCTGTTTTTTTTTTTCTCTTCTCTTTTTTTTTTCCAGTAAAAAAACGCCATTTCTTAGGAATGCTGAAGAGGAACCGCCATCTACTCAGGGTTCCTAGTGTTACTGAAGGTATAAGTGCCTGAAGTTAACCTTCTGACTGCGAAGACACCCAACTCAGTGAACCCACTGCCAGCTTCTGACACAGCTGCAGAAAACAACTGCCCCACCCAATCAGAACACCGCAGGTTAACTAATCACTGGAGGGAACCCATTCTCCTTTCTGGCATCTTCATAAAGAGGGAGCCCCTGAAACCCTGGGCACTCCACCTGTGACCCTTACAATGGCAGGACCCCCGGCCCCTGCGTGCCCCCTCTTTCTCTACCGGAGCCCTCACCGTGTGCCCCTCAGGGCACCTCCAGGACCTGCAAGCGCTAAATTTTGTGTTTTTCAAGGCTCCCTGCTGGGTGCTGCTGAAGTGCACCCTGCAGTCATAGTAAGAAACCACCAGGGAGGTCTGGCCTGAGGGGAGAATGCCTGCGGGGGCCGCCCCAGCCTCTCCTGGATCGAGTGTTGGTATCGCCAGGGCTGGGACCTACACAGCAGGAGGCAGCAGGATAACACCTCAGGCCCCTACTGTTATTACAGCTAAAAAACCTCATTTTCATGTTAAACACTTCGTTTACTGTACTCTCCAAGCCAATCCACACCTGAGTGCCTACAGGGACCAGGCAGGGAACGCAAATGAAGGAAGGTCCAGGACCACGGAATGCTAAGTCTAAAAGTGATGGCTGCTGTTCTGCTCTAGCAGACAATGCTGTCAGACCGTATGTTTAACGGGCATCCGGAAATCTACGTTTTCCATGTGAACTCAGCAGATCTTTCTATACTGACAATTCCTACGCCAATCGAACGCTGCTTGCAGGCCGTGAGCAGCCTTTGGGCTGTCCGCTGCTGGTGGGCTTTGCGAGCCCTGCAAGCGCCCTTTCCTCTCCTCCTGCGCACTCTTCTTCAGACAGCGCTGCTAGACGGACACACACGTGTCTTCAGGAACTGCAAGAAATGCTACACTGCTAAGAAAGAAAATTTGATTTCTGTAATTTCTCAAGAATGGCTGCAACAAGTATAGCTCTTTAATGTGACTGGAGACAGGCAAGGAATAACCCTAGACCAGAACAGGTTAAGCACATGCCTGAAGGGAGAGGAAAACATTACTATCACGGTAGAAAAATATCACTGTCAAAATTGACAGTTTTGGGAATGTAGGAGAAAAAAAGAAAGAATTAAAAAATTCCAAATATTCAAAAAGAAAGAAAAGGAAAATCGAAGTAAACTAAATAAACAGGACAAGTTACAGTGACAAGACAGCAGGAAGCAGCACGGGATTCACCGAGGCCGTGGGCCTGGTACTGCCACCGCTCCCGCTCCAGGGTCTGCCTGATGGCCGCCTCCCGAGAGCAGTGCCTCCGGCCCTGCCTGTCCTCAAAGCTGTTCCGCAGCTCAATCTGCTCCAGCTTGCTGCTGAATCGATTCAAATACCTGAAAAACAAGATGGTCTGACTTACAATGTCTGTTTGGCGTACATTACTTCATTTAAAACATAATCCCCAGCCACTGCCTGTCCTTCTCAAGTTTTCATTTTCCTCTAGACTCCTTCAAGTTCTCAGACCTCAGACTTTCTCTTGATAACGCAACCACTTTCAAAACTTCTGTGAACCAATCAAAGCCTGCATTACAATGTCTATTAAACTCCAGGTCCTCACACCCCACTACCTCCTGGATGTCTCCATCTGGCTTAACACGCCCTCTGCCCTGCCCCTGGTCCCCTCCGAACCTGCCCCACCTCTGCCCTGGCCCCGCCCTCATTCACGCAGAGGAAGACTGGGTCACCCTGACTCCTCTCTCCCCTTTATGCCACATTCAAGTCTTCACTGAAGATGGAGCCTTTTACCCCCCCTTAAACTCTCTAGACATTTCCATTTCTCTTTACCACACTGCTCCCACCACCACCTCTTGCATCAGCCTCTGAATAGTCTGCCCCCTCGTCCACTTTCCTCACTCTCAAAAGTTTCAATGTGAGCATCGCAGCTACTTGCTATTCAAAGTCTCCTATGACTCCCCCTGTCCTTGGGTAAAGTTCAAACTCTTACAATGATATCTGAGATCTTTATGTGTTGGTTGTTTATTCAAACTGTCACAATTCCCTCCCGGAACCTATTATCTCAGTGATAGTAAATGCCTGGTAGATCACTAAATATGCTGCTCCCATCCCCAGGTCTTTCAGATCTTGTTCTCTCTGCCTAGACACTCTTTAAACTACCTCACCTCCATCTGCTAACCTCCATCTTCAGATGTGAGTTCTGATGTCATTTCTCAAGGAAGTCAAGAAACTGGGTTACCTGCCATTCTGAGGCTCAGAAAGGTGATGAGCCTACTAAAATGACTAAGCTAGTATACAAATCCAAAGTCTTTATAACAGAGTCTATCTGCTTGTCTATAAATCCAGAACAGAACTCTGCATCTTGCAGAACCAAGTTGGGGAATTCTTCTTACTGACCCTTTGTTCATTAATGTGCCCAGTGTTTACCTTTCAATTAATTCACAAGCATCTCTTTTTGAATATGCTATTTTTTTGGGATCAAGGTGATTTTGAAACCACTGCAGTTTTTCATCTATAACAACAAGTCCCAAAACAGTTTAACACCATAAGTCATCATTTAAGCAGAGGTATTCATTATAATTTTCAACATCAATGTGTTTAAAACAGTATCAACATTTATTTCAAAGTTAAATATAAAGTTTTGTGTGGGCTCAAAGCTAACTAAACCAGCCTGTCAGAAACTGAACTGTCACATTTTAATTTGGGGAAGAGACAAAGGTAGGAAGGATGCTTTTCTGTACGTATTTCTTACCCAGTAAGGATACAAAACATTTTTTAAAAGAAAGAATACACTAAAAGAACATGAAGTTCCAAGTATTTATAAAGCGAAGGACAGAACTTGTCTGAAATAACAAAAGGAGAGTTTGATTAGGTTAATGAAGAGCATGGTTTGTGCTGAACTTTTAAAGAGCAGCAGGCACTATGTCCAGGCACAGGTCTTGACTTTTACAGTCCTATGAGGATTATTATTATTACCTCCACTTAGAAGAGAAAGGTTAAGTAACCTGTTCAGGGCCTCAAAGTCAGTAAATACACTAAGCGTACAAGATCTGCCGTATACTATGCAGAATAACTGACATGTACTATCAAGGAGCTAGCAGACTTCGTGCTTATGAGTCGATCTGACCATAGCGGTGCCACTTTCAGTAAGATTTCTCAGTATTATAAATCAAGAAATGGCCCTACCCAGGATTACTGATAAACCATTTACAAATACAATTCTACTGTCTGATAAGGCAGTGGAGTGAATGGTTTGAATATCTTTCATTTTAGTTATAAAGCCTAGTAGCTACTCTTTTGAAATCTCAGACTTATCAGATAACCTTACCAATAATAAATCTGATCACACACCCACACACACACATAAAAGGACTGTGACACTGAGATATAGACTGAGGATATATTCACATCATTAAACATGAATTCCTGTTTCCAAAACCTTCATAATTCTAATCGTTAGGAAGCTAGAATTAAACTGGAGAGAGAGGGGGGGCGATGGATAAAGGTAGATACTAAACAATTTCTAAAAACCTGAGCTAGACATTAACACTGTTCTAACAGTTTAATGACTGACTTTATTTTAATCAAGTCTAGTAGAAAAAAATCAATCTGACAAAATCACTTTTATCTGGTAGAGATAAAAACAGCATTTCACTGAGAGTCAAGAGAAAATAAGTAAGGTAAGAACTTCAAACAAGTAAATCCCGTTTCCAATAAGGCTGAGATGCAACGCCTTTTCATTCTTCAATCTCGGGAGAAAAAGTGCATGTGTGTTAGAAAACTTGCAAAACAAGTTTTAAAAATCTGAAAAAAACAACAAAAACTACCCAAAGAACCTTAATTCAAAGATCACTTTTATGCATATGAAATTAATTTTCTTAAAGAAGAAACACTGACACCATGCTTCTCTTTTAAATCACTGAAACAAAATGTTACTAGAAATTTTTTTCTGCTCTGCAGTGACTAAAGGACACCTATAAAACTGGTCTTGAAAACACAAAGGAAAGCTTGTCTGAATTTTGTAATATGCATAATGCTTGTGCACAGAAGAGTAACGAGGACCTTCTAGAAAACAGTGCTGCCATCAAGACCAAAATGCATCACTGTCATCTTTTAAACTTCAACAGTAATAAAACAAAATGTTTACTTTTCATAAATTTGATACAAATGATAACAAAGAAAAAGAACTCATTTACTCTCAGAAAATGGCCTACAGGATCATGAGCCTCCCACTTTTGCTATTTTGAATTCTAATCCATCCAGGGACTTCCCTGGCAGTCCAGCGGTTATGTCTGAGCTTCCATCGCAGGGGGCGTGGGTTTCTCTCTGGTCAGGGAACTAAGACCCCACAGGAGGACAAGAAAAGAAAAGAAAAAACTCTTTTCCATTCAGAAAAGAGGGACGCTAGTGAGAGGGTAACAGGCAGGAAGGCTGCTGCTGCTGCGTCGCTTCAGTCGTGTCCAACTCTGTGCGACCCCATAGACGGCAGCCCACCAGGCTCCCCCGTCCCTGGGATTCTCCAGGCAAGAACACTGGAGTGGGTTGCCATTTCCTTCTCCAATGCATGAAAGTGAAAAGTGAAAGTGAAGTTGCTCAGTCGTGTCCAACTCTTAGCGACCCCATGGACTGCAGCCCACCAGGCTCCTCCGTCCATGGGATTTTCCAGGTGAGAGTACTGCAGTGGGGTGCTATTGCCTTCTCCGGGCAGGAAGGCTAGGGATCTCCAAATGGAGGCAATAGGCTGCAATCATCACAAGTTTTTTCTCTCTCTCTGTCACGAGGAAACAGACTAAAATTGTCAGATTTTTTTTTCCTTCTCCATACAAAATTAAAAGGAGGTTTCCTTTAAAATTCTGTTGCCATGATGACACCTGGTTCCACCTGAACTTAACTTTTCTCAGCCCTTAAGCTAACCAATGTGTTTCTCACAGAAATGTTTTTCTTAAGTATGTTAATGAACAATGGATTTACCTTAGACTCTGTCTTTCTTCAAGTCGGTTCCAACTAAGACTCAGAACGGACTTGACAAACCAGTATGTTTTACTCTGGCAAATGTTCTCTTAAGCTATGTTAATGAGACTACAAATTTGCTTGGAAACCTGCCTTTCTTCAAGATTCATGGCAATCGTGTTATGGCCTGGGATGACTCACCTTGTGCCAATGTTATCTCAAAATACATGTTGTGGGTGAGGGGCCTGGTGCAAATCCAATGGATGCAGTGTTGTTCTGGTGAAAAGTTGAAATTGACTTGTTCCTTGACACAAATTTCCTCTTCATGGTGATGGGATTTGTAACTGTAGATTTTCTACACTCGTGTGGGTCCTGGGTACAGTGATGGGAAGTGGTCACACCCCGACCTCTAACCATAAGGGTGGTGGTGTCCCTGCCGTGACTCTGCCACCTGGACTTGGCTCCAGGAGACCCCAGGTATTTGGATTCAAGTTGGAACCAGATATGTGCCCAGATGCTGGATGGTGGCTTGCTCTTGCTACTGCAGCAGGCATGCTGTGATAAGATGACCCCAAGGTGATCTGGCCACAGTAGGAACACAGGCAGTGCTGGGTGTGCCACACAGTTCTGTCCAAAAGTTAGGTGGGCCAGATGCTTCTGAATAAGTGAGGCCTAGGGCATTCACACCAACCCAAAACTCCCACCAGCCATAGAGGCTGCAGGTCCCATCCACAGTGGGCCTGATGTGGTACTAGCAGACAGCAAGCTACTGTCTCCAGTACTGGGTACTGTGGTATCCACTCCAAAACCAGAAGTAGCAGATACATCCCTGGGGAAAATACCTGAGCTGTAGACAAAGGCCAGCTGCATGTTGATGGTGGTGGTGGAAGACAGGGGATCTGGTAAACCTGAATCCATTATCCTTCCTCTGGGTAGCTGGACTGCAGAAGAGGTTAGCTTTTTATCTTGTGCTAGGGCTAATGGGTTTCCCAGTGGAATAGACTTGTTAGGCTTCTTCCTATTGTTGGCCCCAGATGTGGGTTGGTGAGTTCTGGCTCCAAGCTTCTGGGTTTCAAGCTTCACTTGAAGCTGATGATCAAATGCACAGGTAAATAAGTCGAGGCTTGGGTCCAGGCATTGCTGCCACTGGGTGCTGTGTTCTCAGAACCAGGAACAGCCATGTGATGGGAGGAGTGGTTCTCCTTGGAGTCAGAGGTAGACTGGAAAGTAACGTCTGAGGAGGAGGTGCATCCATAGCATTGATGTAAAAGACTGGTTTGACATCTGTAGAGATGCTGACTGCTGAAGCCATAGGTGGGGGTTTGGGGAAAACAGGAGCTGAAGCCATAGATGGGCGTTTGGGGAAAACGAGCTGGAGCCATAGGTGGGGGGCTGGGGGAGGCAGGACCTAAAGCCGTAATTTGGGGACTGAGGGAAACAGCCAATGCCCTAGAGAGGGGCCAGGGAAGACAGGACCAAAAGCTGTAGATGGGGGCTAGGGGAGAGAGTGGACGGAACCCTAGATGGAGGGGTGGGGGAGACACTGGCTGGAGTCCTACATAGTGCGGCCGGGGAGGACAGGACCCAAGGCCGTAGATGGGGGCCCAAGGGAGACACCAGCCAGAGTCCCAGGTGGGGGCCCAGGGAAGGCAGCAGGCTGATTCCCAGGTGGGGGCCTGGGGAGGACGGCAGCCTGATACCCAGATGAGGGCCCGGGAAAGGCGGCAGCCTGATACCCAGATGAGGGCCCGGGGAAGATGGCAGCAGGAGCACCAGATGACGGCCCGGGGAATACGGCAGCAGGAGCGCCAGATGAGGGCCCGGGGAAGGTGGCAGCCTGATACCCAGATGAGGGCCCGGGAAAGGCGGCAGCCTGATACCCAGATGAGGGCCCGGGAAAGGCGGCAGC